ACGCGCAGCCTCCGTCAGCTCCTCCCCCGCCTCCCCCACCCGCTCCCTCATTCTCTCGACCGCTTCCGCCCCCTGGCCCCAATCGTCCACGAGGAGCCACCCGCAAGACAAGTAAGGGCGGAGGGGTTCAGATGGTCTTGGAAGAAGCGGGTAGTTGGAGTGAGCTCGCCGACCACAGCTCTACCCTTCCGGCCGAGGGCTACGATAGTGCGTCAGTCAAGGGAAAGTCCTCCAATAGTGGTATGCTCGCATTCTTGAGCCGCAAGAAGGGGCGCGACAGAAGCCCGAAACCTCAGGAACCAGGCGTCTTGGGCAAGGAAGGAGCGAGACAAATTATCAGCTGATAACAGTTTCACAACAGGGCTGGATAGGGCGCAGGCTTAGGACAGGAAGCCATGGTTAATCCCTCCTGTTGAAAAATCATGCTCCCAGAGGTGGCGGATCGAACATCAAAATCGCCAGTTACTGAACAAGTGGAAAAAAGGAAAAAAGAAAAAAAAAAGAGAAAACAACTACTTTGCACCAATGGGCTGGTCCTTTATGCATTCTGCCTCTTGTGGCCTTGGAGGGCGCACGCGGGAAATCGACGAGAGCTGCGGTGCAACCTACGAGTCGATTCGAGGATGTGACAAAGTGAGCGACGGGCAGTGCATTGTCCTGCCCCGGTTATCAGTACGGACTTTCGAGGCCTACCCTTCTCCGTTCATTTTTCACTTTGCCTACGCGACACGTCAGTTATGAAGGCCGCCCAATGAATGGCCACTCTTCCCAAAACTGATGCAGTCTCCGGTCGCGCGACAGGCACATCTGATGCGCAATATCTTATTACAGGCAGCTTTGCACCGCGGAAAATTCCCTCTTATAATTTTGTCTCCTTTTTTGATTCCCCTGAAGTCAGCGAAGGCATAATATCATCGCATTCTTTCGTGTCGTTCTAATCCCTAAGTTGGGTGAACCCGGAGTTGTACAGACGGAGGTGGCAGATATGACATGTCTTTCATATTTTCTGGATCTTCATTTGGTATCCCAATATTCATTGTCCATGTACAATCGACTGGATTTTTTTCTACTCTTCTTCATGATCTTCTCCTTTGGTCTTGTTTCCATCCCGATATACGGCGTTCACATACCTCTTTTGACAATTGTCAGAAACCGGCCACGCGAGGCATTCTGTTCAGTATCAGATTGATGAAGCTAAATAGATACTTATACCACTGCATCCTCTCTTTTGAATTGTTTGTCTTTACCACTGTTTATCAATGGATTTTCGATCGGACTTCCCACAGACGATCCGTATCACATAGTCCGACATCCGTGTCCTCAATCTCCGGAAACCACGTGTGGCGTCTCGTGCTTACCATCTATCTCGAGCCTAAAACGACCAATGCAGCTCTCTACGATCAAGCCTCTCTTTGCTCTCTTCGTTTAAGACACATTCAATGTTGCACTAAAGGCTATGATGTTGAGAGTAACTATTCTCCTCGTTCCTATCTTGGTTGTTACCGCCCCCGTTGCTCCGCAACTGGCGTTCCTGTCAGGCACAGCCGTCCTACCTCCACCAGGTTCAGCAGCCAGGGGCCTAAGCCCCATGGACGACCGTACCTTACATTCATTTTTGATAACTATAATGGAGAATTAAGACTTTGAATTTTGATACAAGGGTTATATGTCTGTCTGGTATTAAGAACCTCAAAGAATCGCCGCATCGCAACCCCGGCCCAGATCGCGTGGGGTGGTTGGCAACGCGTATGCTCTTGTTGTCTTTGTTTTGATACTAGGCTGTGCTCGCTCTTTCGACCGGATCGATTGCGCTCATGTCACACTCTGATGATGAATGATTTCTGCACGCTGCTGAATGATATTATTTTTAATTACAGCTACGAACCATAACTGCGCCGTCACGCCTCTCAAGGGTCCCACCGAGTCCGACTGCGGTCATAAACAAACCAAAGCCGCTGCAGCTCCCACATACCGATCGTTGACATCCACCCGACGAACATTCCAACCCACGGAATAAAACTTGCATGCCAAGTCACTCCCGAAGTCGGGACCGCTACGGCGGTCGCGACAGCGACCGGGAAGCACGGTATGACTACGATTATGCACGACGGCGCTACGCAACTGACGACAACGACGACGATTATGACGACGACGAACTCGAGCACGGCCTTAACGAGCGCCGATACAGACGGGACGGGTACCTTCCCCCGCGTGAGTCCCGGACGCGCGGGTACTACGAACGCGATGCGGAGGGGGCGGCCGATGAGGAATTGCTAGGTGATGAGCGCAACCCGGGGCCGCGAGCGAGCAGATCTTACGGTCATGACTATGATGCGCGACGAGGGGAACGGTCGCGGGCGAGGGAGGCTCCGAGGAGAAGCGAGCGGCATCGCGACAGGGATCGAGAGGGCCAGAGCAGGCGCAGGGCGTATGAAGATGATGGGAGACATCGGACGAGAGACGGCCGCCGGGAGAGAGGTCGCGAGTCGGATGCTGAAGCGCGGAGATCTAGACGAAGGGAAGCGGGGCGTGAGACAGCGGCGAGGAAGCATCAGAGCAGTGATTCGACCAATAGTGCGTCGCATTTGCTGAGCGCGGATGCGTTAGCTAGGCTCGGGGCTCAATATGAGAAGGAGGAGCGTCGGAAACGCGAGAATGCCAAGGACGCCGCCAAAGCGGAGAGGAAACGTCAGAAGAAGCGAGCAGTCGTGGGAGAAGAAAGCCGCGCCTTACGTGATCCGCCTGGCGAGTCACACAGAGATCGGACGAAGGCGAGGGTCGCATCTGGGGCGTACCTTGAAGAAGGCCGCAGCCCCGAGATGCAAGTCCGCCATCGTGGAGGTGGTGGCCCAGCAATGGAAGCTAGATGGCGGAAAGAAGGTAGCTGGGGAGGCACTATGGACGATGCAGGCGGCGGAAGGCCATTCTGGAAGCGAAAGAAATGGATTGGCTTGGGCGCTCTGATCCTAATACTGGTCATTGTGATTCCCGTCGCCGTCGTCGTGTCTAAGAAACATGACAACAAGTCTGACCCGGCAGATCCACAAGGAACCTCGCCTGGTAAATCGAATCTGGACGGGTTGAGCCATGACAGCATTCCTGTACGTCTGATCAAGCGGATTTGCTCACTGGGTCTTCTACTGACGTTATACTAGGCTTACGCTCAGGGAACATATCTGGACCCTTGGACATGGTATGATACGACTGACTTCAATGTCACGTTCACAAATGAAACGGTTGGTGGTCTGTCCATCATGGGCTTGAACTCGACCTGGGACGACTCGGCTAGACCGAACGACAATGTTCCTCCTTTGAACGAACCGTTTCCGTATGGGTCACAGCCAATCCGCGGCGTTAACCTAGGAGGCTGGCTGTCAATCGAACCGTTCATTGTTCCTTCATTATTCGACTCTTACTCCTCGGTCGCAGGGATCATTGATGAATGGACACTGTCCAAGAGACTCGGCAGCTCCGCAGCCAGGACGCTTGAGAAACACTACGCTACATTCATCACTGAACAAGATTTTGCAGACATCCGAGATGCAGGTCTCGACCACGTCCGCATTCAATATTCCTACTGGGCGGTAGCAACGTACGACGACGACCCTTATGTGGCGAAGATTTCGTGGCGATATCTCCTTCGAGCAATCGAGTACTGCAGAAAATACGGGCTTCGAGTCAAGCTCGACCCGCACGGGATTCCTGGAAGTCAAAACGGCTGGAATCACAGCGGTCGTGAGGGTGTCATTGGCTGGCTCAATGGGACAGATGGCGAGCTCAACCGCAATCGGTCTCTCGCTGTTCACGACAGCGTGTCCAAATTCTTCGCGCAGGACCGATACAAGAATATCGTCACGATCTACGGGCTTGTGAATGAGCCACTGATGCTCTCGCTCTCAGTCGAGGATGTCCTTGACTGGACGACCGAGGCCACTAAGCTCGTGCAGAAGAACGGCATCACTGCGTACGTCGCTTTGCATGATGGCTTCCTGAACCTGAGTAAATGGAAGAGCATGCTCAAGAACCGTCCCGACAAGATGTTACTGGATACGCACCAATACACCATTTTCAATACAGGGCAAATAGGCCTCAACCATACCGCGAAAGTCAACCTAATCTGCAACGACTGGTACAACATGATCAAAGAGATCAACTCTACAAGCACAGGGTCTGTCTTCAACGTTCTTCGTCATCTTCTTATCTCACCATACTGACCCTTCTCTATAGCTGGGGCCCAACGATCTGCGGCGAATGGTCCCAAGCCGATACAGACTGTGCCAAATACCTCAACAACGTCGGCCGCGGCACCCGTTGGGAAGGAACCTTCTCCCTCACAGACTCAACCCAATACTGTCCAACCGCCGACACTGGGCCTCCTTGCAGCTGCGCCAACGCCAACGCAGATGTCAGCGAGTACTCAGCCGACTACAAGAAGTTCCTGCAGACATACGCAGAGGCGCAGATGTCTGCGTTCGAGACCGGACAGGGCTGGTTCTACTGGACCTGGCGCACAGAGTCTGCGGCTCAGTGGAGCTACAGGACCGCCTGGAAGAATGGCTTCATGCCAGCCAAGGCATATGCGCCATCATTCAAGTGCGGAGATGCAGTGCCAGATTTCGGGAACTTGCCGGAGTACTATTGATCCGCCTGTGAATGAAAGATCGGTTTTACGGACTTGGTTTGCGTTTTCTCTTCCTTGGGTCAAATCATCAGCATCTTGTCGGCGTTGTACATCTTGTTCATAGAGCATGCACATATACATACATGCATAGATGGCGCATATAGTTGAAGTCGTTGTTATGCGATGGTCTACAACTCTCCTTACTGGACAATCTCTTTCTGAATGGTTAGTTCCATTGAATAGCATCTGATATTTATCTTAATAGTGGCCATCGTCTGAGTTTCCTACTCTAGATCTATGTTACCTTTATACTTTGAGGGGTATGAAACTCCCACCTATGTCTCATGCCGTCAAAACTCTCAATTCCACATAAGAGTTCTTAGCTCTCACCTCCCTTATCGAACCAGCCTCCCTTCTCCCACATGCCAGACTTGTAGAGACTGTCCTCGCGCGCATCTTCCTTGTACACTCCATCCAGAAGATGAGCGACACGTTTGAAATCAATCGGCTTCATGATCCACCCATCGAACCCCGCGTCGATATACGTCTGACGGTCCTTCTCCATCAGAGATGCGGAGACAGCGAATATCGGAATCCGCTGAGGCCGATAAGTCGCTGGAAAAGAGGTCGGAGATGTCAGTTCTTCATATTCTCGTATCATCTTGGTTGATCCCATGCCATCGACGATCGGCATCTGCTGAAGGTCAGCTCACGATTGATTGTTACCTACAGAAGTTCTGTGACTGACCTGTATATCCATCAGGACGGCGTCAAATGAGTGCGCATTGTCACGGAATGCAGAAGCACATTCCTTTCCATTCTCAGTCATATGGACTGTATGTCTCGACTTTTCCAGTCTCTTGCGCAAGATTGTGCTGTTTGTCGGATCGTCCTCGGCCACTAAGATGTGGAGATGCTTTTTGGAAGATCCTTCAGACGCAGTAGTTGCACCCTCGTTGGGTGGAATATCTGACTGGGATTTCGCTTCGGTTTGACTCGGTTCTGCCGTCCTCTCTGAGGACCCGGACGCTGCTTCCTCGATTGGCTTCGTCGGTTCATCGGCTAAAGCTCTGGTAGATTGCTCCGCGGACCTAAGATGCGGTTGATGAGCTTGCCCGTCCTCTTCGGTAGACGGAGGTTTTGTCCTTATGTCAGGATGTATGGTTGATTCTTCTTGCTTCGAGGCAGAGTCATGTTGAGCAAAATTCGCGGTGACTGTGTCGTCTGATGTATGACTATCATGTTTTGTGGAATCTGCACACTTTGAGGATCCAGTATTCTTCCCTGCCCCAGCTCTGTCATCTTCGCTGCACTGAGTTTCGTCTTGCTTGGGAGGCACGTTTTGGCCGTCTTCAGGTTCACTTTGCCTCGCTTTTCCTTTGTCAACCGGCGACGCTCTGTTAGATTCAAGGTTCTCTTCATTGGACTCGTCGAAGGGTAAAGGAAACTGCATTTTGATCCTGAAGCAACTCCCCTGGCCTTCCTCCGATTTCACGCTGAGTTGACCGTTCATATTGCGAACTATGCGAGCAACTAGGGCTAAGCCCAGTCCGAGTATGTTCCTCGAGCCGCTACTGTCGCTCGTTTTGGCATTGTCGCAGCGTTGAGGGCGTCGACTTCGTATATAGTCTTTGTTCGAAACTTGCTCCAATTCACAGAAAAGTGCTTCAATATCGTTCTGAGACATGCCAGTTCCAGTGTCGTGGATAGCTACCTCAATTCCAAGTTTCCCAGTCTCGGTATAATCGGGCAACAAGCATGATTCGACAGTCACCGTTCCGGACGAAGATGTATGCTGAACAGCATTGCTGATGAGATTCGTGATGACTTGTCGTACTCGCCGTTGGTCTCCAAGCACAGGAGGAATGTCGGCGTATTGTACAACATGAAGCTCAACACCCTTTTGCCTCGCTTCTTCACAGAAAATGCGCGAGGCTTCATGGATGGTCTCCACGAGATCAAAATTCTCGTCTTTGATCAAGCTGATGCCGTTCTCTGCGTTTGTAAGGTCCAAGAGATCGTTAATTATGTAAATGAGGGATTTTGAAGCGGAATGCGATCTGGAAAGACTCTCCCGAGTCTCTTGAGTGAGATCTCCATCCAATGCAATTTCAAGGTAGTTGATGATCGCGTTCAGCGGCGTCCGAAACTCGTGAGCGCAGTTTGCCAAAAGTAGTCGCATAAGCTGGGTGCTTTGCATTGTTGTTTCCTTTTGCTGCCACACCTCTTTCAGCATGGCCCTGTATATCAAGGATAGAAAGGGGCCCTTCTGTAAGTCTCCCGCATTCCATATATCAGTCTCACGATCGACCAGCTTCGCCTCTGAACTAAGGTCTGTCGGCTGTCCTTGATCCAAGCATCGAGCATTGTCATCAGTCCCAGCACGAAAAGTGTCTCCGCGTTGTGACGCCTTGAAAAAAACGATGAACTCTCGACCGTCCGTCGACAAGGGTACGTACAGCAGGTTGGATAGATACTTGAAACCAGGAGTATAGTTGAGGTCTGGGAAATCTCGAGTCATGTCCGTTGAACACAAGACAGCACCGAGTTCCTTCAGTTTCAAGTATTCCACTAAAGCGAGCACTTCCTGCGCATCGTGGGGCTTTCCAAGGATTTTGGTTTCACCTAACATTAAGGATGCAGCATAATCCGCCTTGAACAAGGTCAGTAAGTCTTTCACCTGAAAACTATCACCTTTCTCATCTCCGTCGTTTGAAGAAGTGAAAGGATCCTGCATCTGGGCAGTCATCGTGTTGGAAAGACGTTCAATATTGCTTGAAAGTGTGTCGCTAACTAGCCAGAAGAACTTCTGTACTGGAGGGGGTAATCGCATCTCTTCCTCGTACGACTGGCACATTATAAGCCCCCATGCACGTCCGAAGGCATTTATATTGATAGACATGCAAGCAAAGACGGGCATTCCGGTGACATGATCCACAAGGTACGGTGATCTCGCCAACATGTAAGAGTGGTCTAGATCAAACTCGCTGGGCAAATTCTCAGAATCACGATAAACCAGCTCAGTGTGTGATCGCCTATGACTGTATTCGAGACAGACTTTGTTGTCCAAATGAAATCTTTCCAAGTCTCTCGGAGAAAGCGGTTTCGGGAAATGCAGGTCTTCCGGGAAACTAGCAATAACGCGCGAGTCAACGGCATCGTTCATAGGAACCGCATTCCCGTCACGATCAAAATAAAAGACTGTCACTCGGCTGAAACCGGTCAATTCCCTAATGATGCCAATAAAGTAGTTGAAAAGCATGCTCAGGGAGGACGTGCTCGCAGCTAGCTGGATAACAAGTGACAAGGCGCTCAACATATCCGCAGACCGGAAATTTCCTCTGATTCCTCTCAGCATGTTTTGCATCTCAGGAGGCATGCTCGGAGTGCTGTTCTTCTCATCAGATCTCTCGTCTGAGCTTGTGTTGTCATAGACTGCGTAGACCGATTTCGAAGGCCCTGAGTTCTTCCAATATTCAAGAACGGCTCTCATCAACTCAAATTCACATACGATATGACCAGAGTTTGCCTTTGTAGCATGCATCGTACACCAGAGCCGCCTCGTTGTCCCGTAACTTTGGCGGACATCGACTTCGTGGATATCTGGACCGTGCTGCTCGACATTATACCACTTGCCTCGGACAAGGTTAAAACGGCCAAGAAAGTCTTTTTTCTGATCATCCTGCACGATATCGCAGAAGCTCGGTAGTGCGAAAAGCTGTTCAGGTTTGTAGCCAAGAACTTCTTCGGTGTTCTTGCTCGCAACCTGGACGATGAGACTTCCTTTGGATTCTTGTAGCACTATGAGTGCACCAAGCCCATGAATGTGCTTGAAGTTTGGTTCGTCTTCCATGTCTTGTACCCAGGTTGCTGTTTCAGCTTGGTCGATCCAGGACCCTGCTCCTGCGAAGTACGAGTCCTGGGCCTCAGCAGAGGATGGGAGGCCAGAGCCCCCCTGGGAAGACACATTCACATCCTCGAATAATGATATGTCGGAAATTCCTCTGGCCAAGTCAATTTTTAAGGGGGTTCGCTTCCTGCTTCCAGTAGTCACGTTCAAAGAACTGCCATAGGCTTCTACTGTGCTCTGAATCGAGGGTGCGTCCTTGCGGTCATCGGGCGATGGCGTAGCTGGCTGGCCTGGTGATTGCTTGCCACCAGTAAAATTTGAACGGAGACTTTCAGCCCATGGGGGGTTTTGCTCCTCAGGGTTCTCCACTGCCGGTGTTGGCGGAGCGGAGGAATCGACCGACACGACTGAGCTGATGGGAAAGATTCGCTCGGTTGATTCTGGACTAAGGTTTGGCAGTTTCAGGACAAATATTCCCGGCGTTGATGGAGAAGGTTCATCGTCGTTTGCAAAATTGAGAACGCGCAGTGGTTCAGGATTAGGACCGTGCTCGTCTGGGGTATTTCTGGGGTTCGCGGTTTCCGAGATCTCAATATTGTGTTGCTTCTCATCTTGTCGTTCTGCAGACGCAGAGGCTGGTTTCATTTCAATGTTCAAGATGGTATTCCGATGCTGTCAGAAGGGCGACAGTACTGGGTTCGACATGTGGGAGCTGGTAGGCTTGAAAAAGCTGTCTCATCAGAATCGATGATAACACGAAGGATCGGAAGAGATATGGACATTTTCACTTACAGTACAGTTGACTGCGTTGAGAAAATTAGAATTCAACCGCGAATTCCGTGATTCTCCTCATGCAACCTGCTAACTTTCCACAGAACAGCAATCATCACAGTATCATGAGAGACAGAGAGGAGATGCTGGGCAAAGCTTCATGGCCAAATAGATAGAGTCTTAGAGTTCACCAAGAGGAAATCACGTCTACTGTCTGTTGCCCCTGGAATCGCAAACCCAATCGTTTCGCAGTCCCACTCTGAGTATTTGGTAAGTTGAAGACAGCCAGAGGAGCGCCCTTGGAAGGTCCATCTTCCGTCGGGTTCTCCCCCGGTTTGTCAGGACCAGCACCGACAAATCAACAAACAAACCACGGTCACGGCAAACCAGCTTTTCACTCATGGCGACATTCATCCGTTAGGTCTGGGCTCTGAAACTCGTCGCCTCCTTTTCGGAGTGATACCACACACATAGACTAGGCATACATCGCTCTCAATAGGACCATCATCTCTGCTTCACGTCATTAGCTCTCTCCTGCAGACAAGAAAAAAGTGCCTTTAGTTATAAAAATGGGAGTCTGCTCGAGCCACATCAGGGCTGGTACAACTGAAAACGTCCTCGTGAAGGAAACCATGGGACGAGGATTCCAAACGCTGGATAGAATCACACTAAAGAGCACAGTTGACTTGGTTACAATGTAGCAAGCGGCCGTTCTGGACTCTCATTCAGTTCCCTCCTTGAATCATACCCATGCAGCAACACTGGTCCTGTCTGCAACTCCCATTTTGTGTAGTAGAGACCAGATCCAGATCCGTGTTGGTCCTCGCCCAGATGAAAGCTGCTTCGATCCCGTCGATATACTCATCAAGCACTGTATAGATCTGAGTAGATCTGCATAAAGTACATGCATTAGTAAGACTACCATCCTCGGGGCTCATTTCCGTGACTGACCTTCGCCTTCGTCAAGAACGAGACAGCCACACGTTTGAAGCTATGGCTTGTTATTTGTGGATAAGCTTCCCGCTACAATTGTCTAGAACGTTCAGAAGGGGAAGAACCAATCCTCGACGGCAAGCTCTGATTATATCACTCAAACCCGAAGCTTAGTATCTGCGAGTGGAGACATGTCCTCAGTCCATTGACGCACTCACCGTGTTGACCTCGCTCTGCCACAGGCAATCTGAGCATGGATGTACGGTACACTCCAGAAGTTTCGGAGATACCTAGTGGGACCATGGTCCGTATTCAACAGTGCCCACAGAATTCATACCCCTCCAAAAGTTCCCTGAACAGTATCTGACGCTACAGTCGAGAGTCAGGCACTATAAATCCCGTACTTCGATGTTTTAGGGACATTGGAGCAAACCCTCTGATACTGTTTGAATTTCAAGGGTATGGTTGCGGGTGAACATACATGAAGCTCTGAGCTCAGCATTAACATAACATCAAATAGATAAACAAGGGGAATCGTTATAATTGAAATCAAGGTGCACGTGTCTCTCGCCCCTAACTCCACAGACCAAGGACAAATGGAACGTGAGGAATCGTAGCAAACTCATAAAAAGAACCAACGACAGGAAGATCCCGTGTCTTCTCTTGCATCAGCGGGTATTTCCCACGCATTTTGATCTACGAGCGATTGAATGCGAAACGTGATCCCCAACCCCTGGTCTTCTTTTCATTGCCTTGAGCTCGTTCGCCGGCCGTGATCTGGACAGAGCAGTTGCTCGAGTTCGAAGTCTTGAATCCTTTCTCCAGGTCATTGAGTCTCTGGCTCCTTGTTTCCTTCAGGTCTTCTTTCGTCTGGGTTCTTCTGAGCTGCTCAGGGACCTTCGGGAATCGGGGAGTCAAGGGCGTCTTGATCGCTTGGACGACGTGTCGTGCAGAACGACGAATAGTCTCTCGCATCGCCCACTGGCGCTTTTTGGCAACGAAGAATAGAGCTGTTGAGGATACTGCACGATGAAAATACATCAGTACTTGTAGAGGAGAGAGCAAATCGGGATAGAGAAGGGGAACAAACATCCAATGACCACAACCACACCAACAATTGTACAGAGAACGATCATTCCTTTTGATGAGACGCCCACTGAGTCGGACGATGGACCCGATGCTCCGGCTTCATTTTGAACGTCCGTGTAGTCCTGCGCTGCGGAGCGTGCCAGAAAAAGGCTGAAGACAGCGCAATAGTAGAGGATCGTAGGTCTATACATCGCAATAAGATGATCCTTGGCGAGTTCACTCTCCTAACACTGTATCTTATGTGCTATTCAGAATCTGTGAGACAGTTGCAGAATCTCACCATGGAAGAGATAATCGCAAATAAACAGGCGCCGGAGGAAAGACAAGCCCGGGGTCTATGGTACTGTTATACAATCTCAGGCATGCCACAGCCCTCAGGGGGCTTGAGGATTTGTGAAGAATCTGCAGCGTCAAGGCTGATCTTGAATGGTGATAGGCTCGAAAACGATTATCTCGGCCCATGTATACACCAGATTCTGCATCTTCAGGGAACGTGCACTATTTTCAGAGTTCAGTGACAAAACTCCATCGACGAATCAGTCGAGCGGGACGTTCATCACAGTGTGATATAGGCGCTGATTCTCTGTGATTGACGCTCAGGGTGCGACCGCTCGTTTTGCATTTTTAATCCAGCAACCAATGGTAGCTAAGCGCTGGCCGCCAGGATCTGAAGAGGCCATCTTTATGTCCTAGGTGGAGTCTTGTATGTGCCGTGCAAGATCAGAAAATACCGAAGCCTTTCTGCCTAAGGGATTTCTGTTCGTGAAAAAGAAAGAGGATGTTTGCTTCCGTCGGGTGATGGGTTGATGTGATTTCGAATCTGACTGCGCTGCTGTGGGAATATACACACCGCAACACTCACTAAGTACCACTTCATTCTTCGTTTCAGTGTATAATGGACATATATGCTGCTTAATGGCAGTTTTAATCTAAGCTTGCCAGAATTTACTTATTGATCCAATAAGTTCAAACATAATTGACTGATTTCTGTGCCCAGCTACAATAACTCTGAAGCATGTTACGCTGCTCTTCATAGCCGCTTTTCATTCTTCCTTTGCATGTTTTCATCACTAAGTCTAGGTCCTGACCTCTTTATGCCGTATACATGAGTGACGATACATTCTAAGGTACCCTCTTGCCTGTACTCAAAATTGAGGAACTCCTTCGATACATAACATGGTTAGAAGGGACGCAAACCATGGTATGGGACTACTGTTGGTCTTGTATGTATAATATTCAGAAAGAGCATCCTCCGTAAAAGGCACCAGTATGATGTGAGTCCATACCGACGTATAGTATCGGAAATTTGATGCCTTATGAGGCAAAGACGAGGCACTTCCCGAAGTGGAAGCTACCATCCGACGAAGAAGTTTCTTGTTTGAGGGAGCTGGCGATCTTCATCCTACGTTCTCATCTCAAAAAGGATTCTTTCCATTCAGTTCCTTCGCCTCTCAACGTTTTCCTTGCTCGTGTTGTTTCAGGCTTGCACAAGAACTATCCTAAAGCTTGGGGACATCCGCAAGTGTTCTTCCATGAGTACGACGCCAATGTGCGTGTCATACATCTCAAGCGAAGCCGACGTTCATTGCTGAGTTGAGCAATCAACACAATATCGAAATGGAGAATCAAAACATCGGCCCTTCTTCGCCTGGTAACTCTCTAGCTCTATCTGAATTCGAACGTGACGGCCTTGCTACTCAATATGATGGTGATGAAGATCTAATGCTTCTCCACATGGAACAAAAAGACAATGAACCCATATCATCGAGTCTGAAGACGGTTATGGAGAAAGACGAGGGGTCAAGTCGACCACAAGACGCTCGTCCTGCTCCACTGCTTCTTGAACGCCCCCAAAGCTCTGGACTCGATGTCGCGGGATTCTGCTTTGGAAAACCTGGTCCACGTGGGAGACCACTTCTGCTACAATCGATGACAAAGAGGCCTTGCTCGGCACCCAGGAATCCTTCCTTGGAACAAACTAATAGGCGTGGCATGACTGACCAAGTCAGACATCAGGATCAAGTAAAGTTCGTTCCTCCAGTGCTGCCACTTTTCACATATACTGATTGACCTTTAAGTTCTATCTCTCATGCCTCGGACAAGGACTGCACGATGTACGGAATGATCCAAAATAACTTATCCCGCTCGAGCGCGACGAGGCCCTGCTCTCCAGCAACGCACAAACCCCAGGAGTCGGGAACTGCAGAAAACCGTTGTAACAGCGCTGAAAGCGATGCTTGCAGAAACACTCCAAAAAAACGACTGCAAAGCCAGAGAGCACAAGACGGTGGTTCGCAAACAGAGGGAGGTATTCAACGCATCGTTGCGAATGCAAGAAATCCAGGTGAGTAAAGCCCGAAAGAAGTCCTGTATAGGAGGTCTAACTTCATAGACGATAATGCAAACTCTGTGACTCCCCAACCGAGTGTAAGTCTTCTCGAAATTTTCGCCAGAGTTACTGACGGATTCCAAGCTTGAACACCATGGTCCTCGTTTGCCAAGACATCACAATGAAGAGCAGGAAAGGGCTGCTGCTATGCAGCAAAATTCCAACCGCCAGGATGAGGCCATAAACAAAGAGGGAGTGCCTAATATGCACTCATTGGGGCCCACGACTGATCATTTCAGGATCTCGAAGCGACGTCCCACAAACGGGAAAAAGGTGCCAAGTGCGAAACGAACAATGACACTGGCTTCGGACAACGGAAGCTCGCAATTGTCAGAGGAAGATCTGTTCCAGCTTCTAATCAATCGGATGAGAGTTCGAGAAGAAAATGAAATCGCTGCCTCGAATTTACAGGAGCGAATGGAAGCCGACATGTCTGAACTGGCGGAGGAAAACAAGAGTCTGA